GGGGGGGGGGGTCATGAAGTCGAGCGTTGTTTATGCCGTCACTTTACACATGTTTGTAAGATTTCAGTCAATGATCTGACCTACCACAGAACTTAAAAAGTCTTCAGACATTTTCTAACCGCGACTAGAAAGAAAACGTTCTGAAGAATATTTAGTTATCCTACTGGTCATAAAAAAGAAAGCTATTCTTGCGTCGAGTACATCTTGAAAAATAGCAAACACGTCGAAGCCGGCTGAAAATACTTTAGCTTAATCAAAACTGCAAGGCTTTATTCATGACTCGGATTTTCAGGGACACGTCACTCTCAATTATACATGTTTTCGTCAAAAAAGAAATTGATGTCCTTTTAACTGTTTCATTGAATTATACTTCTTGTCTTGATTGTTCGTCAAAATCTCTTTTTAATCGCTTTGCCGGTTGTTGTTGTTTTCAGTCTTACTTGAATCGTATGCAGGACTGCAGGAGTAGTCAAGATACCGCGTGTATCAAATAGTTTAAAAGATTATGGAGTTCAAGAAGTAAACTGCAAACGAAAATGATTCCGAGACCTCTTCCCACTAGGTGTGTTCGATTTGTTAAAGAATACCTCCTTTATTTTGAAGCGTACCTGTTCATTCAAACACTCAACAGCTTTCTTTGCAAGTTTGGCGTTTGGCAAAATCCAGAAGTGGTTAACCGGACGGGTGATTTTGGAAATTGAATAAAATAAGATTTTTTCGAAATTTTTTGCTTTAAGCCCATTATTACCCTGCTTACTACATAATGGCAGATTGACCACTGAACAGTTCCTTCTAATTGTGAATTCTCTATATGAAAACTAGTATATAAACGAGTTTTATGTTGTTGTCCGTGTTATAATTTGTTGTGCAAGGGAAGCGCGTGCTTCGATCGTCCTAAATATTGAATGAGTACAATTTGTCTTGTATGATTATTCTGTGAAAAGCAGCAGAATTAAAAGTAAAACAGGGCAAAAAATGACATAATCTCTGTCCGAGGTCTGAACGATAAGCAAACAACGCCTGATAGTTCTGTTTACATCAGAGGTGATGAAGGATGGTAAACACGCTCTACCAGATTAAAGTAAACTCGTAGCGAGCCACACACAAAAACATCCGGCCTGATTTTTCATTTTGGCCTTTCCTTTGTTTATTTATTATTTTCAGAGAGATAAAACCGATAAGTTAGAGAATAAAATGTAAATAATTCTGTTAATTGGCTGCCACCGAGGAGTATCGTGTCTTGAAGGCCGGCTTAATAGCATAAAAGTATATTTCGAGACTGTCCAGTTACTCTTATAAAATAATGGTGGTGTGGGTGGGCAAATAGGTTATTTTGCTTGGGAAGAATTTGTTTTCCACACCTAATTTACTGTGATCAAAGGTGATTGCTATTTCCGGGTTGTATATATAAGACCATTTACTCGATGTAAGATTTTAGATATTGTTTCCTACTTGAACTGTCTTCAAATTATTATTTTTTCTCCAAAATCACCCAGTCCCACCCTTTAAAGTCAGTTTATTGTTTGATTTAAATTATAAAGTTATTAACTGGAGCTACGCTTTTACCCTGGCTAAATCTATATATTAAATTGGTAAAAATCATTCTAAAATCTTATTGGAGAATTACGATTTTTATGTATTTTAAGTGACGTCTATTCCGTCCATTTCTTGCCATTTTGCTGCTAATGTTGCAGTGTGAAATCTTGTTAGGGAGACAATAATCAAGATCAAAGTTTGCAAGAATATCCGTCCATTGTTTTATTGACTGAAATCACATACGTAAATTTTGATTTTGGTTTTTATCATTTTGTTAACTGTATTTTCCCCAGAAAAATCAAACAGCAAGGACAGTAATCCAAGCTAGCAGGAAACAGACCAGTTGTTTATTTAGAAATAACACTAGCTGAAGGCGAGATAATTCATTATACTGTGAGTAATTCTGGTGACCCATCGTATAAACTCTTGATCGAATTTTAAAAAGACAAAATTGATTTGGTTATTTAGGTGTTTAGTGTATTCAAATACAGTCGCTTGGTATTTCCTGTATTTTTGTACGTAGTAAGAGATTCCAAGGACTTTGTAGGATTAAAAGCAAAACCTACCTGAAAAATACGTTCCAAGACTCCGTTGCGTTCAGTTTAGTGGCTTAAGCGAGTTTCTGTTAAGCACGTTTTCGATACCCGGAGTTTTAAGCGTTAAGTAATAATTGTGAACCCTGGGATGTCCAATTATTTGCTTCGCTTCAATCACCCTTTACTGGACTCAGCTGGTACCAGGTCGGCGAACAATGGCATGTCTGGTTGTAACGACCAGGAATGAAGATATTGCTTGGTACACCTAACACAGGTGTCAAGAAAAATGTGTCAAGTGCCACGCTTTCGTTAAGGCAATGATGTTCGCAAAACTTACAATAGGAGGCTGCAAAATTATATTTACTCTGACGAAGGACTAGTGTTCGAAACGATAGATTTTCTACTTGACCTCCTTAGGATGGAAAATGATTTTATAAACACAGTTAGTTGATGAAACTCAATTTTTGTTTCTCTCTCTCACTGACACCACGCTCCAGCTGTTTGGTCTTTTTTATGCGAAAGCACACGCTTTTTGAACCAAAAATGGAATATTCAGAGAGAGTGAACGCACCTTTAAGGGCTCTTATTGCTTGCATTTTGAGCGCTCGAAAAACGACGTTTGAGGTTCCGCGCCTGTTTATGCGCTTTTTCATACCGATTTCACATTTATTCCAAATGATCGATGCGATCACCCACAGAAAACGCTAAATCACCAGCGATATTGAAGCCATCGAAATAAATTTTGTTAGAATATTGGCGTAAAAGCTTTTTGACTCTCACTTGATTTATTTATTCATGTTGTGGGCGGAATATTCAGACGACAGAAATTCGGGATATGTGAAACAAAGAAATAACCACCTTAGGTAATTTCAAAGAGTTTTCTGTTTCTTTACGAGGTGAAAAAGATTCATTGATATAACAAGACATGAAGGGCTCTTTTTGCTTGTATTTTAGGCGCTCGAAAATCAACGCTGAAGGTTCATCGCGCCTGTTTAAGCGCTTTTCCATACCGATTTCACATTTACTCCGAACGATCGATGCTATCACCCTCAGAAGGATCGATCAAACGCTAAATCAACAGCGATATTGAAGACATCGACATACATTTTGTTAGAATATTGGCGTAAAAGCCTTTTGACTATCACTTGATTTATTTATTCATGTTGTAGGCGGACTATTCAGACGACAAAAATTCGGGATATGTGAAACAAAGAAATAACCAGCTTAGGTAATTTCAAAGGCATTTTTTGTTTCTCTACGAGATGAAAAAGATTCATTGATATAACAAGACAAGACGGAATAACAGCAACCTTCAGAGAGCAACTAAGAAGGAAAGGAAGAAAAGAAAAGGTAGGATCACAAGATTTTTTGAACAAATTCTTTTACGACGAGTGATAACTCTAAGCGGAAGTTGACGTATATATCGCGCAGGATTTTTGATTACATTATCGCCAAATGGACCTTTTGCGTCCAACATTTTTTTTTCGGTCAAAAGCTATCTAGCTATTATTAAAACCAAGGGTGCAACCATCGCTTTTTTTTCTCCTCCTTATTTTTCTCCTCCTTATTTCTCCTCGCTTCTCTTTTTCTCCTTTCCTTTTCCATCGTTAAAGTGATTTTGGACCTTATCGGGTTAAGAAACCTGCCTTTTGACGCCTTTTCGTCTTCTGGCAAATTGTAAACCCCCCTTTGTTTATTCGCCACCATTTCCTGAGATGTAAGGGTAGCCTCCAAGCCTCCTCTTCTTTAACTGGAATTATAATTTTCGAAGTACATGACCTTTAAAACATGCTAGGGGAAAAGGCTTTCCTGTGTTTTACCCTGCTACATTTTGAAATGAATAGACTGGAGTGTCTCTTCAAACGCATTAAGTAAGAGAAGAGTTAACAAGGATGAGTTAAAGAAATTAGGTGAATTTTATCCCAAATACCCCAGGGCTCTATCGTCTTTTCTATTTAACAATAGATTGTTGTCTAGTTGACGCAGAGGAAAGATAGAGAATTTGATTCTCGATGACAAAATTCTTTTATCAATTATCGATGTAGCCTGCGAAGCGCGGACGAATTTCCGGTCGTAGTTTCTCTCCCTTCGCAGGCTAGTTGAAAATAGCATTAAATGGCTATTTATGATATAATCGTTTTCTACTAAACCCATTTTTCTTAGGCAGAACTGTAAAAAGGAAACCTTTTTTCCGATGCCGCCGTGTTTAACACCCAATGTGGCCAAAATATTGGTTGCACTGGCTTTTCTTCTTCTGGCATCAGCGACAGACACTGGAGCAAACTGCGACTCCAAGTGGGCCAAAAAGCTGCTTGATGTTATCAAGGCAAGGGATGCTATGATGAAACCGTTTATCAGCCTCTCCGAAGAGATTACTACTCCTACTATGGAAAACGTCATCGCAACTTTGCAGAAGGTTAGTTCCCAGATTAATGGACTGGATAATCTTAATATTAAAACGGTTGAAAAGGAGCCTAAACTGGTGAAAAACTGTTTGACCAACCGGAAGAACCAATGGTAAAAACACTGTTTAGAAGCAACACATTGGAATCTCACTACAAAGAACGTGGACTTGGATTCATACTGAAAACATTCCGGGGTTATCATTCACTTCGGTGCATCCAAGCGATAATCTCTGGTCAAAAGCTTGGTGAGGGCTACGATATTCCAATAGAAGCTATGTGCTCCCGATTAAAAGAAGATATAATCGAAGAGACCACAGATCATGTCCTTTCAACGGCTAAGGTCTGTCAAAGCGTGAAGCAGTGTTCTGGATCCACAACGCCTTTTCCTTACGGAGACAATACCGACGGAACAGACATCAAAGTTGCTTGCACAGAAGATAACAAATGCGACGTGGGGAAAGCCCTCCCCTTAATGTCCGCCCTACTGTGGTATAAGATAAGCGACTTCATGGCAAGGAGCCTTTGCCATAATTCACTTCCTGAATTTAAAAAATCCTCCTTGACAACAAAATATGAGGAAATTAAGACAATGGCAATCCTGATGGTCTCCTACACCAGTACCTTGCATTGGAATGGTTTTTTTCGTGAGGCTGCAAGCCAAAGAGCTTACTCCAATCTAGAAACAGCTATGTCTCTAATCAACAAACGGATAACCTCCATGGAGTTTACATCGCTGGCCTGTATAAAACTCGAAGCTACAGACATGTGCACTCTCGGAGACATTTACAAGTTATATGGCTCGCTGCTGAAATTGAAGAAAAACATATTAAGTCCTGGAATGACCAAAAACTTGCGTCAGTTTACAAAAGTAGATCACAGTAAAATGCTACAGCTAAAAACGAGCGCCTTGAAGCATCTAAACCTGTTGGGTGAAGTACGTTCTGTGGATGAAAACTTAAAAACCTCTGTCAAAGGGATTTCCAAGTATTTCTATGGACTTGCCAAATTTGACAAAGATATTGCAAAAGCAGATGTTACCTTTATCTCGGACAAGCTTAGCGAGTTCAGGAAAAAATCAGACGAAATATCAAAGAAGGTAGAAAAAGACATCAAAAACGCCATGGCGGCGATGGTGACCGTACTTGCAGGTCAGCTGGTTGAAGAATCTGTTATTCTCTCATTGAAAATTGCAGAAAATACGAATCCGTCGAAAGTTATTTTTGGTGGTGTTGAGGTAGGCGATATCTATGAGCAGTTAGCTGAGGTGGCAAGAGCCGCCCAGGAACTTACACATGGCGTAGCCCTGAGGACATCGCTTGTCAATGTCATAAAGGACTCAGCTGATCTTGCTAAGGACTTTAAGGACAATGCTAATCAGATTTCAAGTATGCAGATTCTTGTAAAGGCCATCGACGCAAACAAGGTGGATGAAATTGGCTATGATGCGGACAAGTTCATAAAGGCTTATAGCGATTACACTCCAAAAGTAAACCGAGCACGCTTGGCTAAAAACGATGCGTTGTGGGCTACCTTCAAGAGTGAAACGTGTGATTTGTTATTTGGAGCGCAAGGTGCTGGGGCCGCTCTCGGACAGGGTGTTGTCGGAGGGATGTTGCTCTGTGAGAAGTTAGAAGGAACTCTAGCAGAATTTTCTGCCCTTAGGGAAAACGTTTTTGATTTTCAGTTCGACCTTGTTGATTCCCTAGCAGCTGTAATCCGTGGTAATGTTGGCAAAAAGCTATCAACATCAATTGACGTGTTGAATGACGTTCTTGAATCAAGCAAGCTTATGCTGGGATTTTTCATTACTCAGCATCGCCTCCAACACGAAGCCGCTGTTTACTGTGACAAAATTGAGTATAGGCTCCAAGGAAAAAGACTGGATGACTGTTCTCCATCTTCTGGATTTTTCTCTAAGGAAAATCTAGATAACATCATAAGTTTTGATTTGAAGAAAATAAGTTATTTCGAGGAGAAAAAATTTGTCTATTTACCTACCAAGCCACAATTCAAAGGCGACACAGGTTTTATCAATATTCCTTCTTTAGCACAGGGGAACTCTGTGACATTTCGAATACCAGCAAATCGCATCTGGCTTCGACAATATAACTGGCTAGGACTTGAAGAGAACTCAGCTCCTTTCGTAGAAAGTTTTAAAATGTATCTTCCTCTCAAAAGGTACGGCAAGAAAAAGAAAACAAGTGTCACAACAAGAACGTCAATTGAGTTGACTTCGATAGCTGGAAACATGACAAGTGATACTTCAGATGTGGTGTACAGTATACCTCTTGAACACAGCAAATTCTTAACTGTCTATTACCTAGGCTATCGATCCTCGCAATGCTCAGACGGAAACGAGATTCCCAATCCTTACAGTTTATGTAAAAACCTCCCGAATATTTGCGACACGTTTACTAAAAAGCCTCAAGAAAGTTTGATGCCTACAATTCTTTCCACATGGAAGCTCAGCTACACCGTCGAGTCAGGAAACAGAAAAGTGAAGTGGAAAGCACCAAACCCAGCAACCAACCTCCTCATCAAAGCGAAAGTAAAGCTCCGCCATTATCGCACAAAGAAGAGTGATTTCAAGCTGTTTGAAGATAACCTGTCGTCTAAAGAGGTTTGCTGCAAAGGGAACACATACCAACCAGAATGGTATGATAGCACATGTGTTCCCTGTCCCCAAAAGCCAGATATACCCACTAATTCAAAATCTAAATTGGGTGGATACTACTGTGAAAAGGGAAAGGAAAAAGTTGTTGGTAAGTTAGGTCGCTAAGTTTAAGGGTTAAGAGAGATTTTTAAACCTGAGTAAAAATCAAACCTGTACAATGTATGATTGAAAAAGGACTTTATTTTTCGAGGAACGTTAACAATCGCAGTTCTTTTTATTGCTACTGTTTTGGTACAGCCGATTGATTCTTAACAAGACCGTAATGACTAAGTGATTCATTGACTGATTGGCGAATTTAATTTAATTGTGTTATGTGATGAGATCAGAGAGAAATTACAGTTTGAAATGAAGAATTACGTTTGGTTGATTGATTTTGGTCAATAAAGAAATAAACTGTATCAATCACAAAATTGTCTTCAGACTTTTTTGTTTAAATACTCTAGCTATTTGATGGTTAACTCATATCTGTCACTCCTACCTATTGATCTTCTTGTGCAAATGATATTTCTTACAGCCTGGCCGAAAATATATGCCCTAAAGGTGGATAAATCAGCTCTAGCCAGTAGATAACACAATTATTTCCGTAAAACTTATTCGGTGGATAGTGATTTATCGGGTGGATAGCGCTCTCAAATGTTTGATTAAACAACCGGACTCCTCTATGTCTGTCGTTTGTTCGTATCTAACGGCTCCTGGTATTGCAACAATTTTTCAAGCCAGGACATATTTTTGGTAAATTTTTTTATTGACTCTACGTATTTCCAAGTCTACTGATGCCATCTGACGTTTACCCGATGGCTTCCGAACCTGACAAAACGGATTTTGAGGACACCGGACAATTGTAGCTAAATAATCCAGATTAAGCCAGCGCTGTATAACCACGATTAACTTGGTGGTGATACAAAATAGGCCGTTCGCAAGATGACGTCATTCTACTACTACTGCACCTACTACTACTACTACTACTACTACTACTACTACTACTACTAATACTTCTCGAATTATCCAGATTTTTCAGTTATGGTATACATTAGGGCTTTTTAATTTAAACCTTATTTGGATTGCTAAATTTAGATATGAAAGGAAAATCGAAATGGCTTCTACTCGACATATCAAAATGACGCATTCGTGCAGTTGGCCTGTTGTATATGTTTCCGCCACGATTAGCTTCCTATATGTTAGAAAAAAGCCGCTTTGGTTCTCCCAGGAAATATTTTACCAGAGCCCAAGAGTATCGTGTGGGGCTGGGCAGCGCCATCATCTCACTTGCGTGCACAAATTTTAATGAAAGTAAGGATTCTTTAGATTCCATGCTCATTTATCTTGTACCTCAGTTCTAAAGCCATGTTGAATGAGGTAAACTTCTTGAGTAAGAGGGAGAAGTAGCCTCTTTGGGCACGCACTTGAGCAAAGGTAATAATTGCGCAAAGGAACATTCTAACAGATTGTCGCTCATTGTATTTCACTATTCGCTAGTCGTTTGTTGGTGACGTGTGCTACCGGATTGCCTTCGGCTTTTCTTTAGTTGTTTTTTTGCCTCATTATAGCTAAGCCGGTAAGACGAGTAAATGTCTTAGAAGTAAAGTTTTGAAATCAGCTCACGACTTTCGCCCTTCTGGCAAACATTTTCCTTTCCCCGATTTGGTCGACGACGACCCAGAAAAAAACAGAGCCCGCCGCGGCTACAGCGCAGGCTATGGATTCTAATGCCGTGCTCATCAAGTCCTTGGTAGACCCCGCACAAAAATTGACAATGGACGTGTGCAGTCTCAAGAGACTCGAGACTTCGCAAGTAAGCAGCTATTCCGCTTTCAAGGGATCCGCCCCCTTCTTCCTCGCTTGCAAGGAACACAACCACGGATAATGTCACACTGCCTGAGCTGAGAGCCATGACTGCTCTGGCTTCTAAGATCGTTCGTCGGTTCGTTCAATTTGGTTTTATTACCTCCCTCGAGGATGGCAACAACGATGGAGAGGACGTTCATTAACCAAATGTCGGTTTACCATCAGTGTCAACCTCGATACAACCTTCGGGACAGTTGAAATCTGGTCTGGAAGCCAAACCTATCAGTTCAGTTTTTTACCTTCAGCTTTGGCCAAAGAGTTTGCCTTTGCCTCACCCGCACTCAACCTGAGGAGGAACTTACAATGGCGGAGTTTGTGGCCGGCTAGGCTAAAATTTTTCAGTCCAACGAAATCCGTGCCTTCGAGCTATCGGAGCCTCAAAAGCATTTGGTTTCTTCAATGTACTTCTCGCAGCAGTTCACTTGGTCGGCTGCTCTCAATTTCCACGGCGCCTTTCTGCTTCAAATAAAGCGGGGTGGGGCGATTCTTTTAAGCACTTGGACAGCCACGACAGCACATTGTATACCCTTACCTGAAAAATGGACTGCTAAACGCCCGGTTGAGTCAAGTTCAGCCAAGTTTTCTCCGTTGGCCATTTTATTTTGTCGGGATTATCATCGAGACGCGTGCCACAATGCCAATGATCATTATGATTAAGTCCGTGGTGAACGTAAGTGGCTAAAACATATTCGCACCACTTGCTGGGTACAAAACCATAAACAGGCACAGCATCTGGGAAATTCTGTTGATTGTCCTGTCGCCATTGCCGTTGTTAGTTTGTATTCTGCTGAGCCGTCTAAACACTGATTCTTGATCCTTTCAGTTCTTCATGTATTTGATCATGATACAGATGTTTCACACGGCTTTCCTAAGCACGATTGTGTATTTCCTGTCTCCTGCAGTGTACCTAATTCCAGACTTTTAGATTTTGCCCTAGGTGCAGACAATCGAGACTCTGTACTCCATGTAACTAGCCTTTATAATTCACGGGATTAAGTGATCAATCATGACAGTGAGGCTATCCCGATTTGAGTTATGACGGTTTTTCGTATTACGAAAACTATCACCGACAAATGAAGACAGATAACAGCCCCGGATAAGATGAAGTCAGAGGTGTGTCCGAGGTGTGCAATGAAATTCCATAAATTACTGTGGAACTACTATGACTGGTGTCACACTGCCAGAAGGATTTATTGAAATCGCTGAATTTCAAGGACAGTCAAACTTCCATTGAGGGATGACCGTTGGGGAATCAATGGCCAACTGAGCGTTTAATACAGTTTCAACAAACCTAAGAGTTTATCGAGAGAATCACAGATGGTGACAAAATTGACCTCAAAGTGTTTCCACCTCTTCTTGTGCCAAAAGAAAAGGAGTAGAAGACCATGCACAATGTACACCCTGTATCTATTGCACTTTTGTGTACATCTTGACAAAGGTGCCGTTTAATAGAGGTGAGAAACTGAATACATTAAGGAATCCATTTTCGTAACATAAGAAATTGATCGCTAGATTGTAACCACTTAATGGAGGTGCCCTTAATACACATTTTCCTGGATTTGCCTCCAAACATTGCTCTAAACGACAATTCCCGTCTTAGGTTGAAAGTTGATTGGTCTGAGTGACCTTAGGGTTTTAGGAGGGTTTTTGATATACAGGGTGTTTCAAAAGTTCGTACCGATTGTAAACTGTATTTTGCGCAAAGCATTTAACGCTTCTCTAGGCAAATGTGAACTAATTCAGGTACAAAATTTAACTAAATAACCGTTCAAAGCATTTCAAACTAAAATTTAAAGAATTTTTTTTTTTTTTTAATTTTTGCCCCAACTGTACAAGTACGCGAGGTTTTCCCGCCGTACTTTTTCTGTCCATTTTGTAGGTTTTCTTTTTTGGTATTTTGAACGTTTTCTTTTATTTCCTCTACTCCTTCATGAAAATAAAGGCCTACACTGCTTGTGCTTCAGCCCAGGCATCTATTTTTATGGCCTTCTGGCCATTCAGTCCTAAAAAAATTGCCAAATTGTTGAAGAAGTCTGAACGATGACCGAACAAGTGGTCAAAAGTAAAGACCTTAGAAGACAAACCAAGGAGTGAATGGCCGTTTTTTCACAAACTCAGTGTGAGAAATATTATCGAAAAAGCTGTAAGTATATGCGTAATAATTCCACAAAACAGAAAGGTAAAAAAGTTTCAACTTCACATTATCGATCAAAGTTTCGAGCACAACAGTATGGGGATAAGTTACCAAAAAAAGTTGGAAAGCCTTGAAGAGAAAAAAGCGGTGCACACTTCATGTAGGAATGGTGTCAGACTTTACCAAAGGAGGACCGGCCGGCAAACTCACGTGATATAAACCCCCTAGAGACCATCTGGATTATCGTAGACGAGACACCATACAAAGATCCAGCCCCCTAACCACTGGACAAGCTAAGACAGTGACTACGCTTCGCCTGGAAGAATGTGACTTTGGACACGCGTTGGGAGCTCGGAATTCTGGAGCCGTTGTAACTTTGCTATTTGTTTAGCTGGTAACCCATACAGAATACTATTACAATAGTCAATGCGCCCAATTATTAGGGCATGAACAACTGTGTGGGTTGCTCGGTTACTTAAATACTTTCTTATTCGTCTTACATTTGTAATAGAGAGAGTAAATAGTAACGGCCCTAAACATGACCCTTGAGGAACTCCTTGATTTAACTGTAGAGATTCCGAACACTTCCCACTTAGCGAGACACGCTGAGAACGTTCCGATAGGTATGACGCGAACCACTCCAGTGCTGTACCTCGGATCCCAAAACTTGAGCTCAGACGATATAGTAACACAGAATGTTCCACATTCTGGTTACTAATATTTTAGATATTCAATGTTAAATGAATCATGAATAACATACTAAGTTTTACAAAAGGTTTTTTTCAAATAATTAGTGAAATTCAAGCGAATAAAAAATCGGAACGAACTTTTAAAACACCCTGTAGTCTCGGTATGGACATTTCTCTCGGTTCAACTGCTGAGATTGAAAAATTATTTTGCCATTTTAAGGTAAGCCTAGATGAAATGCGGGTTTTCCCCGGGATCTCCCATATAAAATAGAAGGGGATGCTCGTGGGAAAAGCAGACATAAACCCCTAAACGAGACCAGTTTAAGAGTGACTCAGGCTTTATTTGACCGCGCTTAAAAAGACCATACTCCAGCACTCCATTATTTGACAAGTTCCTTTCTTTCTTTCCCTTTAAATACAATTTGATAGTTCTTTAACGCACAAGCCTTAGGATACCTTTAAGGGTAAAAATATCTCAATTCCGTCGTATGCCCACCCTAGTGAGACCACATTTTCTTCAAATTCTACCCTGAGGGATACAGTTTGAACAAAATGTCTCTACGGTGCATCTGTTTACAGTTTTTCCCCCAATTGTTTTCCTCGATATTTTTTTCAAAATCTTTTCAAGTATCTTTGTAACTCGTGGCTGAATCAAGTTTTCTGTTGGCCACATGTGAACTATACAATTCCTATGAAAGTTATCCTTTTAACACCTCTTTTAAATCATTTATTTGTGTGATCAGTCCATCTTTGATCCACGAGACGTTTTACCCACGAATAAAATCATTTCATGTCCTTATGCTAATTAACAGGTGTGATATGCGTGAAACCAAGCTAATCAGTAGGAATTAAAACGCTCGCTCTCAAAACACCGCAAGTTAACATTTGCTTTTTTCTTTAATAATAAATATTCACTCAACTCTATGTCCACTTGGTCACTTGACAAATTGAAACTGTAACATTTCTAGGATAATGAAAAGAAATCGACACTGGAACAAAACCAAGAAATGGTCATGTGTAACTTATTATGTTTCCATGTAAAATGTAAATGCATTATTGCTTCTTATACCAAGAAGAGGGCAGAAGGAGGGTTGTTTCAGAAAATGTAAAAAGATAGTCTGTTTTTAGTCACATTATTAGCGTTTACGCAGAATTGTTTTATTCAAAACAGCCATCTTGAAAGATAAAAAGGAAGACAGGATGACATCAATAGCAGCTAATGGCCTTTTCTTTTGCAGAAATATTTACGCCACAATAGTATATTGCTTTTAGAATTGACGGCACGCATAAACTAAATTTTTAGAACACAAGACCGTTGCTTTCGCCACGCAAGAAAAAAAAAGCTAGCAATACTTAAGGCAACAATATAATTATGTTTTGCAACTGCTCTGTACGACGTTAGTATGATTGGGATGGTTTGATTGCTTTCTAAAATAAAGTGAACGTTTCTTTGGCCTTAATTTTTTATTAAAGCTCGAAATGTGAATGTTTTATTTTAAAAAACATTATCCCAAAAATTGTATTATTATTAGTAGTAGTTGTCATGGTTTTCATGGAGTGTTTCAATCCGATGTAGTTTTTTGTTGTGTTTCTTTTCCTCCTCTGTTCTTTTTCTGCTTTTCATTCCCATCATTCTGGCAACCTGGGTTTTTCGTTACTACAGTTTTACCAGTCGAGAGTGAAATTGAAAATATATATAAATAAATATTGATCACCACTAATATGGCTTAAAAGCCTCATTCAGCTTATGTTAATAGCACGATTGATATAAAGTTGCCTTCTGGAGTAGAATGTACTTATTCTTTCGTTTGCTTTAAATATCATTGAACGTTTTTTTTTTTACGCCTGGTGCACTCGGCTCTTTTCATAGTTCATAATGAAAGCTGTGAGTGTCGCGATTTTGGTCATTTTTCTGTCATCAGCTGCAGTGAATTCTCACCCCTTGTCTTACAAAGGTAAGTACATGCACCATGAAATCTTTCAATGATCCCTTCTTTCCGCCACAAAAAGCCAATCTGGGGTTAGCATGCAGAACAAGTGGTATTTTTTTTTTTCGTGTTTTTCGGACGAATGAAGCAGGCGCGGAGCTCATAATAAATAAGTAATGATAATAATGATGAAATATCTATATAGCGCCTATACGTTTCAGTGCTAAGCGCTTTACAATACTTCAAAAAGGTCTGGATAAGAAATAAAAGTCCTAAAATCATTTACAT